CCCCAGGCTAGTCTTGGACCCCATATGTACTCAAGGGTAACCTTGAATTCTTGCTGCTCTTGCCTCTACAGATGTGTGCCACCACACTGGTGTGGTGTGTGTGTGTGTGTGTGTGTGTGTGTGTGTGTGTGTGTGTGTGTGTTTTGCCTCCCTTTTTATCCAGGGACTTACTATGTAGCCCTGGCTGGCCTGGAATTCCCAATGTAGATAAAGCTGGCCTTGAACTCAGAGAGGCCCACCAACCTCTGCCTGGGATTTATTTATTTAGCCCTCCCATGTTTTTAAGTATTCAGTCTCAATTCACATTTTCAGACAGTGTGGTCAGATGGTCCCCTGTGTGAAACACCAGCCCTCTCCACCCTACACTGAAATCGGTGGTCCCCAAAGAAGCAGCCATTGTCAAGGGAGCATGGGCTGAAGCACCCAGGAGGAAGTACAGGAAGAAGGGCAGGTTCCTCACCGTCCCCAGCCTGCAGGTATGACTCACCCTCCCAGGACTGAATTCAGCCAAGTTCAAGCACTTCCCCAGGACATAGTACCAACAAGCCCTGTGGCAGACAGAGAGCGTGAGAGCCCCTGAAACTCCAGGGGCAGAAGGCTGTGAGCCAAAGCCAGCCGGGGCTACATGGGATCCCATCTTAAACAACACAAGACCCCTTGGGCACTGGGGAGTAGCCAGAGCTAGGCTCCAGGAAGGCTGAGTCATTTGGCCAAGGTCATGTGAACGAGTTGAGCAGAAATGGATTCCAGTCTGGTTTGTCTGGGCCCACAACCTCTGTGCTGTGACCATCTTGTACCCAAAGCCCTTCTCTGGGCCCGTGGCACCATGATGCCCTTAGAATCTACCATAGTGTTTCCTGATGAACTTTTGTCAACTACCAGGCTTGTTGAGCACGGTCTCTGGGCCAGGCACTCCGCAAAATGGAGATACAGTACCAAATCCAATGAAGTGGGCTGCCCTTCTGGAGTGTGTAATTCCAAGCTAGTGGACAGTGGCAGCCAGCAGACACAACCACCAAGGTTCTCTCTGGTGGCAACAAATGCTCAGGAAAGTCGATTATCCAATACCGGGAAGGATGGAAGCGCTGGTACGGGGCTTCCGTAGCCGTAAATCAAGGCCGCAGAGAGAACATCTGAACTTGGGAGTTCAGGGAGAGAGATGTGCGGTAAATCTACAGAGAAGTGTTCTAAAGGAACCACATGTGTGGGGCTGGAGAGATGGCTCAGTGCCTAACAGCACTGGCTACTCTTCCAAAGGTCCCTGGTTCAATTCCCAGCACCTGCATAGCAGCTCAGAACTGTGTGTAACTCCAGTTCCAGGGGATACGACATCCTCATACAGAAGGAAGGCAAAACACTAAGGCAGATTAAAAAAAAAGAACAGTATGTGCAAAGACCACCGCTCTTGACTCAAGAGTTCTGTACGCCTCATAGGACATCCTCCAACAAAACAAGCCGCTAAATCTAGAGAGGAGCCTCACAGGCAGCCCATAATCAGGAATTGGAACCTCTCATTTGAAGTGAGAGGTCACCAGAGGATGGCAAGTAGACTTGGTTTAGAATTTTTCTTTTGCTATTTATTTATTTATTTATTTATTTATTTATTTTTGAGTCAGAGTTTTCACTGTGTAGCCTTGGTTGTCCTAGAACTCATTCTGTAGACCAGGCTGGTCTTGAACTCACAGATATCCACCTGCCTCTGCCTCCTGAGTGCTGGGACTGAAGGCGTGCGCCACCACCGCCCAGCTTAATTTTAATTTTTTAAAAGTATTTTTTAAAAGTGATTATGTCTTTTGCCTACATGTCTGCATGCATGTAGAGGTCAGAGGAGAGCATCGGATCCCCTGGAATTGCAGTTGCAGACTGTTGTGAGCCTCCATATGGATTGTATAACTCACACCTGGGTTCTCTGAAGGCCAGCAAGTGACCATAACCGCTAAGCCACCTCTCCAGTCCCTTGATTTGTAGTTTTTGGTTTGGGGCTACTTGTTTTGTTTACTGGTTTCTCTTTTGTTTGCATTGTTTTGCTTTGAGATGAGGTCTTACCGTGTAGCTCTGATTGTCCCCGGAGCTCAGTATGTTGAATGGGCTGGCTTCAAACTCACAGAGATCCACCTTCCTCTGCCTCCAGAGTGCTGGATTAAAGGTGCGCCACCACACCCAGTTTGATTTGTAATTTTAAAAGGCGTCTCTGGCTGGGGAGTATACTAAAGGAGAGCAGGGTTCACATTTGAAGCTGTACAGGTTAAACAGACGACGACTAACTGCAGTCCTAGCAGACATCGGAAAGGGGTCTTTTCATACACATTTAAGGACATAGTAATAAGATTAAACAGTGCTGAGAAGAGAGGCCTTACAGATAGCCCCTGTCCTCCCTGCCCCCCAAATAAATTATATAAGAGGCGGGCGGTGGTGCAATTTAATTTACTGTGAGGAAATGACAGGGCAGAGGAGAGAGATCTCATGTTATGTTTTGTTTCTGGTATTGAAATGATTCCTATTCATCGAAGCAGGGACCTCAAGCAGGTGCCCTGGAACTCAGGTGGGTGTGTTTACACACAAAGCAAAGGTAGTTCCGGGCTTAGCCAAAGAGAATGCGGAGGAAGAGAGAAAGCTTTGAGAGCATGTGAACTGATGCATTAGGAAAGGATGAAGCCAGAGGAGAAAGCTGAGAGGGATGGTCAGCGGGGGTCCAGATAGAGTCTAAGGGAGAGAAAACCGAGGCCTGAAGTCCACACTGTCAAGGACTTGCTGTATAGAATTTCAGAGAAGTGAGTTCAAGGGAGGTTTTTTTTTTTTTTTTTTTACTTCTACGGGAAGATAGCAGAGAGGAGAAGAAGCAAGGAGAGAGAGAGGGGGGGGGGCAGGCAAGGAGAGAATGGACAGACAGACTTGCAGGGAACAGTAAGGATGTGATGGGCAGGCTTCGAGGTTCTCTACAGCTACTCTCTCTGTTAAAAGGTCCAGAACGGCTGCCGGGTACAATGCAAACAATAGTTACTCCCCAGGGGTTGGGGAGCACGCACTCACACGTGTAAGCCCTGCACCTGTGCGCCTCTGATGCCATGAGTTGGGGGCCTGAGACACAATAGTAAACATCACAGAGGGAGCTGAGCTGGAGGGGAGGAAACAGCAGGGACCTCAGATCACCGTCCCTGACTCCTGGAGCAACAACTCTCCGTTCCTCTTCCTCTCTGTCCAGAAGACCGTCGGCCCCAGAGCGCTGAAGAAGAACAGGGTCCCCGCTGCCTAACAATGTTGCAGAAAGGGACGGAAGAGTACTGAGCTATGCCTACTGTGATAAAGTCCTTTAACCCGAATTGTTTAGCCTTTTGATTAAGTATACTTGTCCATGTGTTTATGGCCTAGAGAAGCCTGGGTCATCTGTGTCTCTTACACAGAAGTTCTAAAGGGAATTACCCATGTGACAAAGTCTTCAGGAAAACAGGTAAGAAAAAAATTTTTATCTATAAAACATTATTATTATGAGTAAGTTTTTTTAATAACTATTATTTAAAAACTCAGGGCTGGAGGGAGGGCTCAGCTCTAAAGAGCATGTGATGCTATTTGCAGAGGGCCTGAGTTCGGTTCCCAGTATCCAGAGCAGGCAGCGCTGATCACCTTTAACTCCAGTTCTACGGGATCCAGCGCCCTCTTCTGGCCACATCGGGAACTGTACTTACATAGACACAAGTAATTGTTTTTTTCTTTTTGGTTTTTCTAAACAGAGCTTCTCTGTATTGCTTTGGAGCCTGTCCTGGAACTCGCTCTGTAGACCAGGCTGGCCTCAAACTCACAGAGACCTGTCTGCCTCTGCCCCCTTCTCCCAAGTGTCGAAATTAAAGGTGTAAGCCACTACTGCCCAGGCCAGCTAGTGTTCCTAACCACCGAGTCATCTCTCCAGCCCCAACACACTTAATTTTTAAGAAGGAAATCTGAACTGGAGAGAATGCTCAGCCATTAAAGGCTTGGTTCACAACCCTTTCTCCCCAAAAACAAGAGAAAAAAGAAGGAAAGAAAATAGTAATTTATTTGTTAATTTTTAAAAATTTAAATCCTCCTAGGATGACGGACATATTTGGGAATGAAGGAAATTGGAGAATAATATGGCCTCTGGAGCACAGAAATCTTTTGACTACAGTTTATTGTGTCCTGAGTATGCAGGAAAATAATTGCTAACTCAGGTAATGAGGCATATGAAAGCCTTCCTTGTACTTTAGGAGCAATCATAAGAGATACTCAAGAGAGCTGGATGCAGGAACTTTGAGCCAAGTTGCCTATGTCCCAAAAACCCAAAACTCAAGCCAGGCCTTGGTAGCGCACACCTTTAATCCTAGCACTTGGGAGGCAGAGGCAGGCGGATCTCTGTGAGTTCGAGGCCAGCCTGGCCTACAGAGCTACACAGAGAAACCCTGTCTCGAAAAATCCAAAAATCAAAACAAAAGCAAAGCATAACCTTAGAGCTGACTTCCTGTTGTAGGAGCCGTGCCACAGCGCATACACAATGCGGTGGTCCATCAGGCAATGCTTCAAGACGTCCATGGCTGTTGTGTTCCTGTGGCTTTTCATCACCCTGAAAGTACCCGAGGAAATCGAAGACATCCAAAAGGTGGTGACTGTTCTTCGGGAAACTGGGAATGCGCAGTGGGGAAGGGTGAAGGCGGGCAGGCTGCCCAGGGAAGCTGGCCTTACCTCCTAATTCTTTCCGCTGGGGAGCTGGAAGCTCTGAGTGGGGCTGGGGTGTGGATCTCCCCATTAGTCCGTAAATTAGCTACATTGATTTGTCATGTTTCTCCAGGTAAGGGAGAAAATACTGCCAGAGCCCATGAATCTTTGGGCCATGGCCCGGCACTGGTGCTGGATTCCTTCTAGAAGAGTGAATCACTTCACCTCTTCCCCTAAAACAGCATATGGGAGGCTGAGAGAAATAAAGGCTGTTGTTTTAGGAAAGGGAGTGTGTGTGACATACATACATACATACATACATACATCCTTTGTCAATGGTCCAGGTGATCAAGTATGGCACTAAGAAGAACCCCAGGTCCCTAGAAGACGACTGGCTGACAATCACTTCCAAATATTTGGGGAAAGTCCACCAGAGAAGAAAGAGTGAGTTCCAGGGAGAGGGAGGAGGGTGTCTTGGGGAGGAGGGTGTCCTGGGGGAGGAGGGTGTCCTGGGGGAGGAGGGTGTCCTGGGGGGAGGAGGGTGACCTGGGGGAGGAGGGTGTCCTGGGGGAGGAGGGTGTCCTGGGGGAGGAGGGGTGTCCTGGGGGGAGGAGGGTGTCCTGGGGAGGAGGGTGTCCTGGGGAGGAGGGTGTCCTGGGGAGGAGGGTGTCCTGGGGGAGGAGGGTGACCTGGGGGAGGAGGGGTGTCCTGGGGGGAGGAGGGTGTCCTGGGGGGGGAGGAGGGTGTCCTGGGGGAGGAGGGTGACCTGGGGAGGAGGGTGTCCTGGGGGAGGAGGGTGACCTGGGGGAGGAGGGTGTCCTGGGGGGAGGAGGGTGTCCTGGGGGAGGAGGGTGTCCTGGGGGGAGGAGGGTGTCCTGGGGGGAGGAGGGTGTCCTGGGGAGGAGGGTGTCCTGGGGAGGAGGGTGTCCTGGGGAGGAGGGTGTCCTGGGGGGAGGAGGGTGACCTGGGGGAGGAGGGTGTCCTGGGGGAGGAGGGGTGTCCTGGGGGAGGAGGGTGTCCTGGGGGGAGGAGGGTGTCCTGGGGGGAGGAGGGTGTCCTGGGGAGGAGGGTGTCCTGGGGAGGAGGGTGTCCTGGGGAGGAGGGTGTCCTGGGGGAGGAGGGTGACCTGGGGGAGGAGGGGTGTCCTGGGGGGGGAGGAGGGTGTCCTGGGGGAGGAGGGGTGACCTGGGGAGGGAGGGGTGTCCTGGGGGAGGAGGGTGACCTGGGGGAGGAGGGTGACCTGGGGGAGGAGGGTGTCCTGGGGGAGGAGGGTGTCCTGGGGGAGGAGGGTGTCCTGGGGGGAGGGAGGGTGTCCTGGGGGGAGGAGGGTGTCCTGGGGAGGAGGGTGTCCTGGGGAGGGAGGGTGTCCTGGGGAGGAGGGTGTCCTGGGGGAGGAGGGGTGTCCTGGGGGGAGGAGGGGTGTCCTGGGGAGGAGGGTGTCCTGGGGAGGAGGGGTGTCCTGGGGAGGAGGGTGTCCTGGGGGAGGAGGGGTGTCCTGGGGAGGGAGGGGTGTCCTGGGGGGAGGAGGGTGTCCTGGGGAGGAGGGTGTCCTGGGGAGGAGGGGTGTCCTGGGGGGAGGAGGGTGACCTGGGGGAGGAGGGGTGACCTGGGGGAGGGAGGGGTGTCCTGGGGGGAGGAGGGGTGTCCTGGGGAGGAGGGTGTCCTGGGGGAGGAGGGGTGACCTGGGGGGAGGGAGGGTGTCCTGGGGAGGAGGGTGTCCTGGGGGGAGGGAGGGGTGTCCTGGGGGGAGGAGGGTGTCCTGGGGGGGAGGAGGGTGTCCTGGGGGGAGGAGGGTGTCCTGGGGGAGGAGGGTGACCTGGGGAGGAGGGTGTCCTGGGGGAGGAGGGTGACCTGGGGGAGGAGGGTGTCCTGGGGGAGGAGGGTGACCTGGGGGGAGGAGGGTGACCTGGGGGGAGGAGGGTGTCCTGGGGAGAGGAGGGTGTCCTGGGGGGAGGAGGGTGTCCTGGGGGAGGAGGGTCTCCAGGGGGAGGATGGTCACGAGAGGGAAGAAGCCAGGAGAGAACATGAGGAGAGGTGAAGCTGTCCAGGAACACTGGGCTCTGGACACGACAAGTCGGGTGTGAGGGGGGAAGAACAGATAAAGGTAGTTGTTTTAACAGGTAGAATCCGGGGGTGGAGGGATGGCTCAGTGGTTAGGAGCGCTTGATGTCCTCCCAGAGGACCTGAGTTCAGGGCCCAGCATCACACACATGCACACGCACACGCACGCACACGCCAGTAGGCAGACTTTCCTGTGTCCTACCAGTCAGCTCCATCCTGCCAGCCATCTCCCAGAGAAAATAACCACACAGAGAGACTTATTACCAATTATAAATGCTGGGCCAATAGCTTAGGCTTGTCGCTAACAAGCTCTTATAATGGAACTCACCTGTATCTCTTATGTATAATCTACCATGTGCTGGCTCGTTTTCCTCAGAACAGCATGTCCCTCTTCCCCTCGTCTCCTGACAACCCTGCCTTCTCTACCCTGTGATGTCTTTTTGTCTGCAAGTCACATCTAACCTTTTCCTGGCTATCCATTGGCCAGCCAGCTCTTTATTAACCAATAACAGTAAAACATACTCATAATGTACAAACAGTTTGTTCCACACCACGCGCAAGGACACACACATACACACACACACACAAAACCGTTAAAAACACTTAAAATAGATACAATATCTTGAACCACATATTAGAAAACATTCCTGAACACTACATTGTATGTACACTCATCTGCAATACCATACATGTTTACATTGGTTAAATAAGGAACATAATTCCATTGTGTAACTTAATATTTCAGTCTGCAATTATGACCTAGCCCTAGGAATGAATGGTTATATGGCTTTTGGTGGTGGTGAGGGCTGGGGAATGAATAACCATGTGGCTCTTTGTTCATTGATTTTGAAACAGAGTCTCACTATGTAGACCAGGTTGAATTCATAGAGATCCTCCTGCCTCTGCCTCTTGAGTGCTGGGATTGAAGGTGTGCATCATTGTGCCATGCTTTTTATTTTATTTTTAATTAAGTGAAGACGTGTGTCTCTGTCTGTGGCTATATATACACATGTACAAGTACCCACATAGGCCGGAAGAGGGTATCAGAGTCCCTGGAGCTGTAGCTCCAGGCAGCTGTAAACCTACCAGGTAGGTGCTAGGAACTGAACTCAGCTCCTCTGTAGATTAGTAGGCACTCTTAACCACTAGGCCATCTCTCCAGACCTTATGTGGCTCTTTTTTGGAGGGGATGGCACCAGCCATTGTTTTTTTTAGGGGGGGTTGTTTACACGTGTAAAGTATATATGTATTTATTGCCAGGCAGTGGTGGCGCACACCTTTAATCTCAGCACTCGGGAGGCAGAGGCAGACAGATCTCTGAGTTTGAGGCTAGCCTGGTCTACAAGAGCTAGTTCCAGGACTACACAGAGAAAACTGTCTCAAAAAAACAAAAACAAAAACAACAACAACAATAAAACATTGTCTGCATTTTTAGGTAGAGAAATTCAATGATTAAAGAAACTGGGCAGTGATGGTGCACATCTTTAATCCCAGCACTCAGGAGGCAGAAGCAGGCGGATCTCAGTGAGTGAGAGGCCAGCCTGGTGTTCAGAGCAAGTTCCAGGACCACACAGAGAAACCCTGTCTTGAAAAACAAACAACAACCACAAAAACATTAAAAAAGAATGAAAAGAAGATACAATCACTGGTGGGAAAAAATATAGTTGTTAGAGCAATCTCTGGGTTAAAGAACATTTGAGACAGGAGGCTCTTAGAGCAGAGAGCTCAAACCCTTTGGCTTCATGGGTTTTGGGACTGAAAGGACTTGGCCAACACCACAGTCAGAAGTGGCAGGACTTGGGTGAGACCCCAGGCTCCCCGTTGCGGAAATAGAACAGTGTAGGTTGAGTGCTTTCCCAAAGTGTGTGTCTCAGCAGCAAAGCAATATGGGGAAGAAAGGGTTACACCAGCTCCTGCCTCTAGAAAACAGCCCATCACTCAAGGAACTCAGGCAGGGACCTGGAGGCAGGAGCTGACCTGGAGGCCAGGCAGGGACACTGTTTATTGGTTTGTTCAGTTTGCTTTCTCCTAGACCCCAAGACCATCTGCCCAGGGGTGGTACTGCCGGCAGTGAGCTCAGCCCTCCCACACCAGTTATTAGTCAAGAAAATGACCTATGAACTTGCCTACAAGCCAAACTTAGGAGCCACTTTCCCAATTAAGATTGCCAGGTGACTCTAGCTTGTGTCATGTTGGCAAAAAAAAAAAAAAAAAAAAAAAAACAAGACAGAGTGACAGAGTGTATGGAATCTGGCATTCAGTCCTTAGCACCAGAAAAGCAGAACAAAACAAAAGCATGGGTTCCTGGCTTTTAAAGGATAATAACCATAACAAAAAGTTAATATTTGTCAAGTTCTTCACCCACAAGCTTCAAGTTTTAAAAAAGACTCGGAAAGGCTGGACAAGGTATGTGCCACCACTGCACAGGTATAAATAAATCTTAAAAAAAAAAAAAAAAAAGTAACAAGAATGGGAGCTGGAGAGATGGCTCAGTGGTTAAGAGCACTGGATCCAGGTTCAATTCCCAGCACCCACATGGCAGCTCACAATGATCGTAACTCCAGTTCCAGGGGACCCGACACCCTCACACACACATGCAGGCAAAACACCAATGCACATAAAATAAATAAATCATTTTAAAAAGTTTCTTTCTTTAACGTTGCAAGAATGTATATTCCCTGTGCCAACATTCTCTGATCATTAAGATTCATTTTTGTGTGTCTTATGCATGCACACGTGTGTGGATGGGTGTCCATGGGAGGCCATGGTGTTGGATTATGGGAGCTGAAGTTACAGCACTCCTACATGGGTGCAGGGGACCAAACTCGGGTCCTCAGCAAGAGCAGAGAGGATAAGCCACCTCACCCTACTACTCACGGTTTATTTTACTGTACTGTATTTGAGACGGGGCCTCACTAGACTGTGGAGCCCATACTGGTGATCCCCCTGCCTCAGCTCCCTCATACTAAGATTAGATTACAGGCACGCCTCCTCGCCGCGCCTTGCTTTTTAACCGCAGCGCGCGTTGACAGCTGTCCCTGTTTTACCTCTCTCTCAGCCTGGCTGACAGTGGGGATCACCTCAGTGTCACGACAGGGTCAGGGTGGCCTCTTGGACACACTGGCCTCCCTGTACCACGCCGCCTCCGTGGATGAGCAGAGACAGATAACAGTGCTGGTTCTCCTGGCAGAGTCTGACAACACCTGGCTCAGGAAAACCGTCCTCCATATTTCAAGCCTCTACAGCTCCCAGATCTTGACCGGGCAATTGCTGCTGATCCATGCCCCATCCAGTGCCTACCCCGCTGTGGCTAACAACCAGAAGGAGCTGTCTCTGGCACAGATGTACTCCAAGCAGAACGTAGATCATGCCTTCCTCATGAGCTTTGCCACGGAGCTCTCGACCTACTTCCTGTTGATAGAGGACGATGTCTTCTGCGCCCCCAATTTTGTCACGCACATTCGCTCAAAGGTGATCAACAGGAAACCCCACGCGTGGGTACTCCTGGAGTTCTCCAACATGGGCTTCCTTGGCAAACTTTTCCACAGCAAGGACCTCCCACTTCTGGCGCGTTTCCTCCTCCTCTTCCACCAGGAGCGACCGCTCGAATGGCTGATCCTTCACTTCCGTACCCTCCTGGCCCAGCAGAACCCAATCTTCTGCAGACCTTTTCTCTTCTACCACAGGCTGTCTCACACCACTTTTGAGAACAAGACCTCATCGGCCCAGGAAAACGGTCCTTGTGGTCCCGATGCCCTCCCTGGAGCCGTTTTCACGGACATGCGGCTCTCTGGTGTCCATTCTCCCCAGGAGGCCTACTCTCTGGACGAGTCCTTCTTTTGGACTTACAACGTCAGCACAGGGAACTATCTGACAGTGATTGTGAACCATCCGGTGAACCTGGAGAGAGTGCAAGTGCGGACAGGATCCATCATGGATGGAAAGTACATTCTGGAAAAAGGACAGGTGGAGGTAGGCTACCACCCTGAAGGAATGCCCCCAAACTGTACCAGCTTTACCCTGCTGGGCCACCTTGTGCAAGGACAGATGGATCAGATCATTCTGAAAAGCACTGGGTTCCAAGTGAGTTGCGTGAAGCTGGCAGTGAATGCTAATCAGGCCGGAGCGCTCATGATCAGGCATGTCTATCTCTGGGCGGCCGAATGCCTAACATAGACTGACCAGAGCCGATGGTATACCAGAGTAAACAATTAAAGGCTCGACGCCATTGCACTCTAGCCACTACGAATGACATCAGAGAAATCCAAGGGAAGGCAGGCAGGAAGATAAGGCGCCACCATTTTTATTTTATTTTATTTTTTTCAGGGCCGCTAAAACGTTAGGAAACATTTTTCCTCTTTCTACCCAACCAAGCCATTCAAGTAGGATTTTGTTATTGGTCTTTTACTCTGACAAATGTAGCTTCACCAAATTTGGGAGAGGCCTTGGTCCCTTTGAGAGTCCTTACATTCCTGGGACGCCTGAATCTCCCCAGCAGGGTGAGTGTGTGTGTGTGTGTGTGTGTGTGTGTGTGTGTGTGTTCACAGAGGGGGGAGAGGAGTAAAGTAGGACAGTGAGTGTGGAAAGCAGTTGCATTAGTGCTGGAGACTGAACTGAGGGCTGGGAACTTGCTAAGCAAACAGCACCATTGAGCCATCCCCAGCCCCTGAGGAGTCACTAGAACCTACAGAGATGGCTCAGTGAGGAAAAGGTCTTGCTGTACAAGTCTGGCGACCTGAGATCTATCCTGGAAACCATGGACTCCAGAAAGTTGTTCTCTGACTCTGCATCCACTATCAAGTCCATAGATGATAATAATAGTAGTAGTAATAATAATAAATAAGAAATCAAGAAAAATTCTTTTAAAGGTTTTTCTTTCTCTCCTCTTTTTGTTTTGTTTTGTTTTTCGATACAGGGTTTCTCTGTGGCCCTGGCTGTCTTGAAGCTCCACTTCTAGACCAGGCTGGCCTCGAACTCAGAGATCCACCTGCCTCTGCTTCCCTGCCTCTGCTGGGATTAAAGCAGTGTGCTACCACCGCCAGGCTGTCTTTCTTTCTTTTCTTTTCTTTTCTTTTTTTTTTTTTTTTTTTTTTTTTTTTGGACAAGGTCTCACTATGTAGCTCAGGAAGACCTCAAACTTGAAATCCTCCTGCCTCCACCTCCTGGCTACTGGGATTATAGAAGTGTGCCACCATATCAACACCGATATATACTGCCATATACTGATAGATAGGTAGATAGATAGGTAGACAAATAGATAGATAGATGATAGATAGATGATAGATAGATAGATAGGTAGGTAGGTAGGTAGGTAGGTAGGTAGATAGATAGATAGATAGATGATAGATAGATAGGTAGATAGATAGATAGATAGATAGATAGATAGATAGGTAGGTAGACAGACAGACAGACAGACAGATGTCACATATGAGAGAAGTTACCTAAAATGTCACTAGCCAACAGGATTGCTGTGACCTAGGTCCTGCCTGAGGCCAGCAGCTCCTTGGTTTACTTACCTATTGTAACCAAAGGTGGAGGAGAGACTCCTTCAGCTGACAGAGGTGGCTTTGGACAAACCTCATCACAGTAGACATCAAGCTACCAATAGTCTCTAGCCACCCTCCGATATGATGCCCAGCCCTCTACCGCCACCTCCAAGTAACCTCAGTCCAGTGACCTCGAACGCCCACGCATCGTGACTCTCTCACCCAAGCAGCCCTCAGACATGTTCTGCAGCAGCCATGATGCAACTTTTCCTCACTCAGGCTGAGATGCTATGTGGCTGATATTGGGGGAGAGGGTTCAGGTATCTCTGGGGAGCAGCAACTTGACCCTGGTCAGTCTGAAAAGTAGGGCATCCAGACTGTGAAATGGGAGAGCAAGCCCCTCCTGCATTGCGTCTGGGGCATCCATCCCTTCAGCTCAGGCCAGCAGCTGCCTGCATCGTTATCAAAAGCAGGTACTTCACATTTTCTGAAATTGCATTGTAGAGGAATGGCTGGCATTCACGTTCCATAGTCACTTTCTGCTAAGAAAGCCCATGGCCAAAAGTGGCACAGCTCTGCCTGCCTGGCTGAAACTGGACTGATGGGCGCCACAATGAAGATTCCAGGAGCATCCGAGTGTGACCCAGCAGGAACTACCCTTTGTCCTCTTGCAGAGACAAAGTCTCACTCTGTAGCACAGACAGGCCTGGAACTATGTAGTCCAAGATAACCTCGTATTTCCAGCAATCCTGCTTCAGCCTCCCAAGCATGAGGATTGCAGGCATGCCCATCCCCATCTTAGGATAGCATTATTTTAATTTTTACAAAAAAAAAAAATTGTTTTCTGAGACAGGGCTTCTCTATAACAGCCCTGTCTGTTCTGGAACTGGCTCTGTAGACCAGGCTGACTTCAAACTTAGAGATCTGCCTTCTGCCTCCCAGGTGCTGGGATAAAAGGTTTGTGCCACCACTGCCTGGCTAAAAAGATTTATTTTTAAGCGTGTGTGTGTGTGTGTGTGTGTGTGTGTGTGTGTGTTGTGTAGGTACACATGTAAACTTCATTTCTACCAGGTAAACCCAGGAGATGGGGATGCTGCTGGGTAGAACAAGTCAGCTCTTCTGTGGTTACTGGAGTCCAACAGACAGTACAAAAGCTTTAGCGTCTCCCAAACCTGGGCTTAAATCCCAGCTAACCTACTAGCTGAATGATCTCACTGGAGTTCATTTCCCCATTGTAAAACAGGAGTCCCATCTACCAGGCAAGCTCAGCATGTGATGAAATAAATTCCCGCACATAAGACAGTAGCCGGGTGGTGGCAAAGGCCTTTAACTCCAGCACTCAGGAGACAGAGGTAGTCTGTGAGTTTGAGGCCAGTCTGGTCTACAGAGTGACTTCCGGGACAGCCAGGGCAGCACAGAGAAAACCCGTCTAGAAATAAATAAATACAAATAAAAAAGACAGGCAGTTTGCGCTCAGGGCATCGGCCTCAGCACGTAGCCTTCAGCGTCCATCAAGCTCCACCCTGCCTCCTGTGTGCTCTTTTTTTTCCTGATGAAACATCCTCAGCCTAAGCCTTGGACCTGCCTCACCAGCTCTGCTCACCGGGGTTGAAGAGGGAGTCTCAGACGGGCCCAGGCTTGTAGGACTTTTCTTTCAAGGCCAGTCCTGCCCTGGGTGAAAAGGGAGGGGCTGGTTTTTCCATGCAAAAGGAGTCTCTCCCTTCTGGTTGGACGACTTCAAGAAACCTGAGATTCAAGAAGCGATCTTGTCACCAAGAGGGCTAAGAGATAGGACAGAGAAATCAGGCTCCCTGGATTTCCCACAAGTAACATCGCCTCCCTTCCACCAGTGTGGGTGTAGATTGGCATCTGCTGGTAGGAGAAGGAAGTGATATGGTCTAGTTGTCCGAGACCACTGGGTCTGGGTTTAAGAGAGAGATAACATCTCTGCAGGGTTGGTGTGGCAATCAAATGTGACTAATATGTGAGGGCTTAGAATCCTAAAGCAAAACTACTTCACGTGGGGTCATGACATTACCCACTTTAAAGTTCGGCAGGGGCTGGAGAGGGGCTTCAGCCAGCAGTTAAGAGCACTTGCTGCTCGCCTGGAAAGGCGACCCTGGTCTGAGTCCTAGAATCCACACAGTGGCTCAGAACTGTCTTTTACATCTTCTTTTGCCTTCTGCGGGTGCATATATGTAAACACAGGTAAAACAGCCATAAACATAAAAATAAAGGCGAAGAAAGTTTTAAAGTTCTTCAGCAGCTCCCCTCAAAGCTTCTGGGTTACATACGTTTTTTTTTAACAACTTGCTAAGCTCATGGCTAACCAGTCACAGGGCTCCTGTAGCGCCTTCTGTGGGCCCGACCTCCTTTGCATATGCTGCTTTCCCGGCCCTTCCCACCTCCACCTTGCTAACTGCTTGTCCTCAGCTTTTATCTGCTTCCACAAAGGCCACCGAGGCCAGGCCCTCTGTCACCCTTGGCCTTTGAACCCTCATCCTCTGTTTTACACCTGTCTACAGAGGTGTGGCTGTTCAGGGTTCAGAATCCCCCTCTTTAGACCCCAAACACATGCTTCCTGAGCTTAGAAATGGCACGTCTGTTCTGCTCATCATTACGAACCTGAGGCCTCACAGAGGACTTGACACACAGCAGGCCTTTCATCTGCTGGGGAAACAAAACAAAACAAAAAATAAACAAACAAAAAACCCCAACCGAATCAGGGTCAGTAGTACCCTGTCCAGGTTCCAGTCCCCTTAGCCCCAAGTGTGAGGTAGCCACAGTCACTGGCTACCCCAAGCACCCAGCCAGCCAAACGCCTGCCTTGTCTACCAGAAGAATTCAGAGAGGTGTCTTTTTCCCATGTCTATCAAAACTCAAAATATGAACTGAAGAACCAGCCTGACTCCATTTTAGGCTTAAAAGACATCTTTCAGTGAAGACAAGCTAGGTTCATTCCTGTTCATACATAACCCTGTTTCTCAAGGGTTGGGCTATGCCCACCTGTGGCCTTAACTACACACGGTTCTGTACCGCCCTCTTCCAGGACTGGCAACCATGTCATTTCAAAAGTAGTTTAAAACCGTCTTGCAACCCTACCTGTGTTTCAAAAGCTTATATGACCACCCGTGAGTCCCTGGTTTGACTCCAGTTAAGCCCACCTCACAACCCACGTCCTTGTTTCAGGAGGAACTAATTGTTATGCTTATGTCCTTCCTGCAACCTCCCCTATTTTGCCTGCCAAATCCCCCATTTGGAAACCCCCCAACCCTCGAGCTATAAAAGCCTTGTCTACCTCACATCCAATGCTGATCTCCTGAACCCCAACTTAGGGAAAGGCAGCCTGTGTAGGCAAATAACACATCTTGCTTTAATTTGGCCATGATGGGCTTGGTCCTTCCTTCTCCCATCTATCAATCACTATCTCTCATCTATCATGTCTGTCTTTCTTCTAGACTCCTCTCTGAGATGCTGGGGTTTAGCTTATTTACCACATCACCTTCTGTTCTGTGAACTGAATATTCACCCGTCAGCAAACCCACAGATGCCACCTTCTCTCCATGTTAATCAGAGGGCAACTCCTGGCATTCCACGGACACAATTCTGCACCAGCACTCAGGGATACTTCACAAAGCGGCTGGCATCATGAGGTACCCAAATTACCGTCTGTGTCAGACGCTGTGCTAA